TGCGGGCTCTACTCCGGCGCCCTCAGCTCTTTCTCTTTGCCTTTCCTTTGGCACCCTCATCGTCTTTGTCCTTCTTCTTTTCCTTTCCCTTGGCACCCGGATCCTCTTTGTCTTTCTTCTCTTCCTCGTCCTTTGAGCCTCTTCCATCGCCCTCATTGGCCTTCTTTTTTTCCTCCTTATTTGAGGCTCCTCCCCTCCTCTTTCCTTCTTGTCTTCTTATCATCTTTCTGAGCGAACTCCTCCTCCTCCCTTTTCCTTCTTTTCTTCCTATCTTTCTCTTCTTTCCGTTCTTGTTCTTGTAAGGCTTTCTTCTCTTCATTCTTTTTTATCTCATCCATCTGCTCCAGCAGCTGGCGGTTCTTCATCTGCGTCTCACGGAGCAGTGTTCCGGAGCTGTGGTAGCGGTCCTGCAGGATGGCCGCGCTTAGGCTTGTTTGGCGCCAACGCTTTTTCAGCGCCGGTCCAATATGAAGAATGAAAAACAACAACATTATTGAACCATGTAAGTAGCGCTTGCGCAGCACCACGGCAATTACGAACTCGCTTCAGTTTTTCTACCCAGCACACGACCCGATGTCCTCCAGATTCTTCTTCTGGTCATTAAGCTGCTGCGCATCCCATTGCAGTTGAACGCTCCGCTGCGCGGCCTGCTGCGCCCGTCGTTCTGAGTGCTGGAGCTGCTCTTGCGGCACTGTCTGCGACAGCCGATGCTGTGTGTCCTGCAACTGCTGCTGCAGTTGTCGCCCCAAGATTAAGGGGTTCGAGATCATATGTCGTGTCATGTTGCTTCACTATTTTGGTGAGCAAGCGCCCACAAGAGCTGAACCCCCAGACGCGTCCATGTCTGACTGGTCAGTCCAGAGCCCAGAGCCGCCAGGCTAACCAGGTTCTTTGTGTAGACTGTGTGGATCATTTTTGCAGTTCAGTGCTGGAAAAGCGCTTTTCAGATAAGAGATACTGGTGCTGAGGAAGCCCCGCTGAAACTCACTCGTCAAACTCAATTGCCGCCAGCTGTGTTTCCATCTCAAGATGGAGTGGGGCGCGGACAGCGAGGGGCGCTGGGTTTGGCACCCATGGTCTGGGCCAGGGAGCGACGGAGGGCTCGGCAACAGTCGTAACAATCGGCAAAACGAATGCCGAAACCAGCGGACGCGGAACCGATCTGAGAAGCGGCAGCTGGAAGACAATCACGGCAACTGCAGTTGCAGTTGCTGGATTCGCTGCTGAGCCTGCTGCAGCTGCTGTTGTGACTGCTGCCCTGCATGCTGCAACTGCTGCCCGGCCGTCTTCAACTGCTGTTGCTGTTCCTGGATTTGCTGCAGCGCCTCTTGCAACTGTTGCTGCGACTGTGCCAACTGCTGTTGTAACTGCTGCAACTGCTCTTGCGGCACTGACTGCAGCATCTGCTGTTGCAGTTGCTGGTTTTCGTGCTTGCAGTCTGCCAGGTCCTGTTGCGCTTGCTGGAGCTGCAGAACCCATCCAAAAACCTTCTGGTACTTGAGAACCTCCTCTGGGTTGTCCACATGGTGCTGGTGAGCCAACCCACAGAGGCTATATGGCGCACAATCCTCGCAGAGGCCGGTCTTGTTGTTGCGCTCGGCAATCAAATGCAGTCGGTAATCCGAACCTCTCCGGCCAAACAGCCGGTCCCAGACACAGCGACGGCCACCTTGCATCTCTTTGTTGTTGCGGAACCCCTCAGCTCAAGTGTCTTGCTGCCACCCAAGACCTTCTGTGCCCACTCAGGGCGAAGAACCAGGGCAACAGTTGGCGCTGCGCCAGTGGAACAAGCCGCCATTGCTAACAGCAGCACGGCGGGGGCCGGAACACAAAGTAACAGGATGCTCAAAAAACATATCGCGGTCATTTTCCATTTTGCAATCATGCAACAATAATTACTTTTATGGTGTAAAATGTTACTTAGGGGGTGTGAGATTCATACCCCGAAATTTGGGTATGAAACTCCTCTAAAACTGTGGAGCGGTTCCTAACACGGGGTATGCTAAAGTAGGGGGTGGAGGGGGAGGGGGAGGGGGCTACACAAACCCTCCTTTTCGTTGGTTACAAGGGGGGCACTTTCTTCCCTGGAGGGCTGGTGACGGGGGAGGGGGCGAAGGGGGACGCTCTATATGTGTATATGTATAGACCACATATATATATATATAGGCTTTGGCAGTTTGAGCAACAATGGGCCGCCAGTAAAACATGGGCTTTGAGTAAAACATGGTCGGGGCCAAGTTTTACTAGTAAACATCGGACATGGACGTGCTGGGTTCGCTGGAGCAGTGCAGCTTTTGGAGGCATCAAGCCAACCGAAAACCAAAAGCACAAAAGCACATACCAAAGCACCGGCCAGTTTTGGGGGTGCCGGCAGGATTTGTTTGGGTCGGAAGATAGTGATTACAGTTGAAACACGGGACGGACATGTCAGCAAACCAATTTGCCTCGCCTTCGAGCTGGACAAGCTCAACGCCCCTATGCAGAACTGTAAGAAGAGTCCCGAACTAGACAAAGACTCGGCAGCAACACAAAGGACTTCAACCGGGCACTCTCAGCTTAGAGCCTGTAGTCGCTCCGGCGCTTGATAAGCTGGTCAAAGTTGTTCAGTTCAGCTGCGCATCTTGTCCGAAAGCAGCAAAGACGTGTGTGAGTTTTATGCCGTATGCTTCGAGCATATTTGCCATGACAGGCGAAGCTTGCCAAGCAGGAATGCGAAAGATCGACGCGCTCGACGCTGTGATTTGGATAGTTTCAAAAAGCGGTCGAGCGATGCTAATACTTACTTGGTTGCTTCCCGCACAAGAGAAGCTGAAAGGAGGGACCTTTGTGTTCAACCATGCTGACTCAAGCTGGAAAAGCACATAGAGCTCCACCATGGCCGGTCGCTCCAACGATAACGTTTAAAACATATTGGCAGCTTCGCTCTGCGGAGCTCTTGCGGCATCTGAATCAAGCCCACCAAGAAACTCTCGCCAGGAGAATTCCTACTTTGGGGCCGATCAGAGGTTGCCATAAAATGGCTGGGGTCTGTTCGAAAGAACACGGCGTGTCCCGGCATGTTGAATAAAGTTCTCGGAGCGCAACTGCAGCCGAGCATCATGCTTTGACCTTATTGTACAGGAACTCCAATTGGTGCCAGCGCCGGCCGGGGTCGCAAACGCAGCGGCCGGGAGGATGGCGCTGGTGCTATTCCCGTATAATGGGGACCCAGGGTTGATAAACCCCTGTCATGACGGGGTGTCCCTTTTGAGATTCACTTGGCAAACACGGTGAACCCTGACTCCCCGCCAACTGCTGCCATGCCGCAGAGCTCCACGGAGCGAAGCTGCCAATCTGCGTCAAAGGTCATCGTTGGAGCGACTGCGGCCATGGTGAGAAGCAGCTCTATGTGCTCTTCCAGCTTGAGCCAGCCAACAGCGTGTTGTCAAGCTCGGGCCCTCCGGTAACAAGGAGCAACGCTTTAAAAGCAACAGGGTTGAACACAAAGGTCCCTCCTTTCAGCTTCTCTTGCGCGGGAAGCAACCAAATGAAGTATTAAAAGCATCGCTCGACCGCTTTTTGAAACTATCCAATCACAGCGTTGAGTGCGTCGATCTTTCGCATTCCTGCTTGGAAGCTTCGCCTGTCCTGGCAAATATGCTCGAAGCATACGGCGTAAAACTCATACACGTTTTTGCTGCTTTCGGACAAGATGCGCAGCTGAACTGAACAACTTTGACCAGCTTACAAAGCGCTGGAGCGACTACAGGCTCTCAGCTTCTAGTGCCCGGTTGCCGGTTGGGCACTTGGCACGCTCACCGCGGTTCACTGGCGCTCGCTGCTGCCAGCGACGCGGAACCTGGCGCTGGAACAGGATCTCAAAAGCCTCTTTGCAAGTACTTGTCAGCCCCGCCTCGCCCTCGCGTGTGTTGCAAAGATTAAGGCTCCGCAAATTCGAACCTTGGAAGCGGCGTCAACCTCCGAACGATCGCAGTTTTTGCCCCTTTGAAGCGGGTGCCCCTTGTGGGGCGCCGGCCAGGATATTGTTTGGGCCGGAAGAAAGTGATTAGTTGAAACACGGGAGGGACATGTCAGCAAACCAATTTGGCCTCGCCTTCGAGCTGGGCAAGCTCAACAAACAATACTACTTTTGAATACATCCTGTGTTTGAAAAAGCAAAAACACATCTCAAGCGGGCCCAAACAAAGGCTTTTTGGCGTAGTCCGTCTGCCCAAGTACGAAGAGATAAGAACGATAAGAAAGCTCAAAACACATGAGAGATATGACTGGCACAAAGGACTTCTGAATCGAGTAGAGTCCACCAAGAATATCTCGTCAGACGAATTCCTACTTTGGGGCGGATCAGAGGTTCGCATAAACTGACTGGGGTCTGTTCGAAAGAACATGGCGTGCCCCGGCATGTTGAGTAAGTTCCCGCGGCGCAACTGCAGCCGAGCATCATGCTTTGACCTTAGTGCGCAGAAACTCCAATCGGCACACAGCACTTGGTAAGCTGGTCGGCCTGGCAACGGCTGCCAGCGGCAAAGCCACGTCATATCGGCTCAATGGTGTTTGGTTCAGCTGTATATCTTGTTCGAAAGTAGTAAAGATGTGTATGAGTTTATGCCTTCTGTTTGGAGCATATAGGCCAGGACAGGCAAAGCTTGCCAAGCAGGAATGCGTAAGATCGACTGTGATTGGATAGTTTCAAAAGCGGTCGAGCGATGCTAATACTTAATTGGCTGCTTCCCGCAGAAGAGAAGCTGAAAGGAGGGGACTTTGTGTTGTTTTTAAAGCGTTGCTCCTTGTTACCGGAGGGTCCGTCCAAGCCATGAAGTCTAATCAGCGATGGTGTCGTTCTGCGATTTGGAAGCATGAGTTTGTCAAAAGGCCCAGGCGCTGCAAATCGAGATCAGGCAATGCTGTGCTAAACGCCCGCGCGACCTGAAGTGGGACTCCACCATGGCAACTGAGGGTCGTTGCTATGAGGGCGCACCACCTACAGCCGCCGGCTCTGCCAGGATCGCAGCAAGGATAACCTTTACGTCAAGGGTCTTCCCCTGGACTTCACGCAGGACGGTGCGTGTAAAAGTTGTTGAGGTTGCGCAATCCTTCGCTCGCTCCCAATTCCACGTATTATTGGAAATGATGTAGGCAACCATTGTAGGCAACCATTGTGGGCAACCATTGGGGCCTGTTTTTCGTTTTGGTTGCTTGTCCTGTTTCTGCACCCACTCGCATTCTTCCCTTTTCTGACGTTCATTGTGTTGCTGGCTACTGTGTCACACTCACATCCCAGTCAGCAAGATGGATACAATCCGCTCAATCAATGTCAACGTTCACTTGGGAGGGTACTAGTTGGGCCCTGGTTGTGTCTTCCATCCTAAGAAGAGGCGCCCGTTTTTAGGAACTATGGGCCACAGTTTAGTGGCAGGAGCACGGTGTCACACCCCTTCTGAAGAGGACCCGCCTGTTTCGACACAGCATTCCTCTTCCCCACTTACAACCGCTTTGGTAAAGGGGCATTTCTAGTTGGAGCCAACGCATGTTTGGTTCAGGCGGTTGTTGGGTCGGACTTGGCCGAGAGGAGCGTTTGGAGCACCTGTTCGGTGGCTTCGGCACGGTGCGGCGCTGTCGGCCGGGCGTCCCAGCGCAAGCAACCTGGGCGCTGAGAACTCAGTACTCAGCACTCAGCACTCGGATTGCGGGAAAATCGGAAATTCGTTTGTGGTCTTGGGAGCGTCTAGAGGGCGGGAAAGGTGTCATGTCCAATGTCAAGAGCAGCTCCAGGTGGGTAGCCTTTGGGTGCGGCCTGTGGGTTTGCTTGTTCTCGCTCAGATCCGGCGGCCACGTGTTTTTGGTACTTGACCTGGCTCAGCAGATGCTCCATGTGTCTCGAGCACTCTCGCTTCAAGCTTCAAGACACTAGTTTCAGCGTGCTGGGTACACGATGGTCCATGCTGCTGGAAACCAGGAAAACTGGCTTAAGCGCAATTCGCCATAGCTCACTCCGGGTGTATGGGAGGTATCCTCTGACAGTACGCGTACAGTGGCCAAACATGAGACTCCCCTACCATGTCATGAGCCAACCTGTATGTCATACTTGTTAGACTAGGGCGCTTGAGACCGCGCGCAACATATCAGATTTGTCATATTGGTGCCGGCACTGCTCCAAGGATGCTTCCGCCGCCAGCAACCGCGGAGCACTGCGCTGCGCTGGTGCAGGTGAGATTTCCAGCAAGCGGACTGGGGGCAAGCATGCACGTGCTTGAACTTCCCAAAGAAACCACAAGCGGAGGGACTTTGTTGAGCATGTCCAGTCCACACCTCGGTGCGATGGTGTCGAAATAAATCTGATCCTTCGTCGCCAACCAATGTTGTCACGCCAGATGGCCAGCAGCAGGGAGGCGGCGTCCGCCCTGGAGGCCGAGCTTTTGCGCATGGGTTTTCTGTCTGAGACATTGGCTCGCGGACATCAGTTCTCATGAACGAGCACATCCTCCAACTGAAATTCATACCCGCATGGGCACTTGTCAACCTGGTGAGCTGAGCAATACACAGACTGGTGTAGAGTCGGTCAATGTTGGGCCCACTTACCGCTTACCCATGTTATCGCCAGGCAAGCGGAGACGATCTAACTGTTTACTGTCATGTGATAGATAGTAGATAGATCGATAGATTAGATCAGATTAGATTAGATCAGATTCGATCAGATTAGATCAGATTAGATCAGATTAGATCAGATTAGATCAGATTCGATCAGATTAGATAGATTAGATAGATTAGATTAGATTAGATTGATTACATTGATTAGCCTAAATAATCTGGAATTGAGTTTCCATTTGATTTAGTATTGCTGGAGCTTCCTTTTGAATTCTGGAATTGAGTTTCCATTTGATTTAGTATTGCTGGAGCTTCCTTTTGAGATCTGGAATTGAGTTTCCATTTGATTTAGTATTGCTGGAGCTTCCTTTTGAGATCTGGAATTGAGTTTCCATTTGATTTAGCATTGTTGGAGCTTCCTTTTGAGATCTGGAGCTTCCTTTTGAGATTTGAGTTTCCATTTGATTTAGTATTGCTGGAGCTTCCTTTTGAGATCTGGAATTGAGTTTCCATTTGATTTAGTATTGCTGGAGCTTCCTTTTGAGATCTGAAATTGAGTTTCCATTTGATTTAGTATTGCTGGAGCTTCCTTTTGAGATCTGGATTTCCCAGACTTAGTGAGCTTCCTTTTGAGATCTGGAATTGAGTTTCCATTTGATTTAGTATTGCTGGAGCTTCCTTTTGAGATCTGGAATTGAGTTTCCATTTGATTAGTATTGCTGGGGCTTCCTTTTGAGATCTGGAGGTATGATAGATAAGACAAGACAAGACAATGCAAGACAATGCAATACAACATAGGATACGATAAGGACAGATACGAAGAGATACTGTCGATGGATAGACACACAAACAGACAGACAGATAGATAGATAAGATATGCCTTTGGCACCAAAGGGATCCACTTTGTCAAGGGACTCGGCAATTCTCAGACGTCCAACAGGTTTTGAGCAGGATCCAACCGGTTGCTTGGACGGATTGAGGAGAGCTTCGGAATGAAGCTGCAGCCTGAACTGAACTGTTGGGCTTAGCACGTGGTTCATTTGTGAGCTGAACAATTGCGCAATCAGCAAGGAACGAAGCCAAGAAGCTTGGTGCAAGTGGCATGTCCACCAGGGTTTGTTTGCCCTCTCGTATCTCTCGTGCAGGCTTTAGATGGCACGGTGCACGGCTATGAGATGCAGATCCGTTTTGCAGAGAAGGAAGCGGATATCCTGGTCATGTCATGACAAGAGACGATTCCCGCGGTCCACATTCTGTCATGCCAAATGTGAGGGAAAAGAAGCTGATAGAGTTGCTCAAAGCTTATCAGAGCCAAAGCAGAAAGATGTGGTTCAGACTTAGAAGCATGAGTTGGGGCAGGTAAGCGCAAGCAGCAAGGACCTGCAAAATCAGCTACAGGTGCCTTAAACTTAATCCGCCACCAAGAGAAGTGACAAATCTGTGTTGGAGGGTGGTGCCTGCACCTTGCAAAGGTTTCCTCCCAAGTGCCTCTTGGCAATTTGTATGCTGGCTGCCCTCACCAATTTCCGGCGATCCAGGGTGCCTTTCAGGAGACGCAAAGGCCGGAGCATCTCAGCGACAACATCTATGTCAAAGGATCGGGGTCGTGCTTCTATTGATGTCTGGCTGTCCGACCATTTCCTTTTTCGGCCAGTTTCCTTTGGGCCCTGGAGCTTGCCACATAGATTGCACCAGCCATTCGCCATGTTCAGGCCCCTTTGCAGGAAATGTGTGTGCGTCCCAAGCTTTGCAAACAGCTTGACAGGGCTTTTCCTCAGCGCCGGCAATTTGTTTGGTGGGCATTCCCAAAAATTGGGGAACATATTTTGGCTCGCCTATGAGCAAACCAACCATATGTGGGGCTTCTGGCTTTGAGGAACTGCCCATTCGCAGGACTTCCCTTGGGCACGCCGGAGTTTGTCCTCCGCTCGGTCTGGAACTTGGGCAACATCCCCCCATCCGAGACAGCGATAGAATGATGGGAAGTCTGCTAGCCCTTGCCCTCCCTTTTGTCCAGCAGGGCTAATTTCAGGGAACTGCGGGGAAGATGAGCGTTTGAGGACATGTTGGCATGTGCGGTCCAAGTCCCAAATCGTTTTTGTGGAAGCTTCAAACAACCTTGAACTGGCCTTTTCTGCGCTTTGGAACATTTTGCTGCAGCGGATGGCGACCAAGGTCTTCCAGAAGTTTGGCACGGTCATGCGATTGAAGGCGAGGTACAGTGCTTCGATGCAGCCGGGTGCCGGGAGAGCTGTGCGCGAAAAGCTTGGGTTTCGGCTTTTTGAGTTGCGTTGGGCAGGCGGCACGCTCTGCTTGCACAGTGGGTGATGTTCCCTTGAGACTTGTGATGCTTCCGCGCCCATTCTCGCAAGGAGATAAGCAACACCAAAGCCAATGCAGCTGTCTTGAGAATACAAGTGAAACCCAAATCGATAGCAAAGACAAAAACGGCTCTTGAAAGGCAAATCGGAATCCCTTTGGTTTTTTAATGGAGGTGATGGAGCCACGGATGGGGGAGAACTTGGACTGCTCCGCTCTGGTGCAGATGACGCTCGGACCATCTTTAGGCAATGGCTTGCTGGCAGGCGGTGGTGCACTCTATGGACCACTCATAAAGCTAGAGGTTATTATACCTCGGGTAATTCGATGAGGGCTTGGTCTATTTGCAGATTCGTTGGAATCGTTTGGTCTTTCTGATGAATCTCCTAATGTTGCATGAATGAAGGACTCGTAGCTGATGGAGTTGCTGGATCGGATGGACTGCCCTGCAGGCATCTAGGGCCACTGAGAGGACCACCTATCCACCAACCCTTGGCTAGCAAAAACTAGCTGTTTCATGGCAGGCTGACTGGGGTCTAGAAAATGCGTGTGAAGCTGTTGCATGTTGAGTTTGCCAACTTTGAAGCCAGGTCAAGAGTCGAGGAGGCGCAAGCGGCCGTTCAGGCTGGGAAGCAAAGGCTTTTCCTTTGGCCCTTCCAAATGCATTTGGGCATTTGGCAATTTGGGCACGCAGACAAAGAATTTCAAAGACTCAGAAGCGAATCATGTCAGTTTTGTAGTTGCGGCCTGTTGGGCTCTCGCATGAGCGCTTGGCAGTCCCTCAATGGCGAGAGCTTGTCGGTGTCGCTCCCAATCAAGCTGCGCTATGCCGGCAAGGACTCGAGAGTTTGTTACACAAATCACTCAAAGGCTATATATATATATATTATAATATATTATATATGTATGTTTGAAACCGGGGGGGGGGGTTCTCAGGAACCGTCCTATCGTTAGGGGTACCTTAGGACCTTTTAAGGAGATGCGGAAGATCTATGACCAAACCCCCGTCAGCTTTGCTTCGAGGACCAAGTGCCAGGATGCAACCTCTACGTGACAGGCGCCGGCACGCGTTGCTTTGTTCGTTTTCGGCGAATGCCGCATGGTGCGACTTCCGCGAGCCATGGCGCCAGAAACGGGTGAGCTTTTCTGAGTCAGGATTACCCGTCGCTATCAAAGAGGCGGCACTCAGAGCCTCTTGGCATCAGTGTGGGATACAGGACTGGCCGGTGCCACTTTGGAATAGCGGGTTGGCACGGAATTCCTTCAGAGGGTGGGAGAAACAAGCAAGCAAACAAACAAATACACAACCAACAAACCAAAGAACTCAACTTGAATTGCACTAGCCAGAGGTGTAACATACGTCGTGCACCTGTTCAGGGTATTTACGGTACGGGCAGTCCTCTGCCAAGACAGTGCCTCATCCCCAAGTTGATAGGTATGCGGCCCGGAATTGGCTGAATGTTGTTGACAACAGCTCGCTAGCCAACTTCATGCCTATTCTGGGTCGAAAAAAAGCGCTGAAAGGGCTTCATCAGACCCGGTTGAATTGTTATGGCTGGGCAACACAGGGTGAAGCAAACGCGGTGAATTCATATTTGGAAGGAGAACACGATTGTTTCATGACTGGCATCTTGAATATGGTTCTGCGGCGATTGGGCAACTGACCTGCAGAGCCATCTCAACAGCCGGTCAGTGAAGAGGTGAGCTATAAACCAAAGCCCCCCCAAAAGTATTCCTAGCAGTTGGGTCGAAAAGTGGGTGTGAAGGGCCCTATTGGGTTCAGGACAGGCTCACCCATAGGTTGAATGAGGGTTCCTTAAATCAAGTCGCTGCTGAGGCAACCTTCGCCTCCTGCGGGGAGGTGGCACGCCTCAGACTGCTGTCGCAGTCGGGGAGGCCCGGAGGGTCCGCGCGTCGGGGAGGGCCACACCTTGCAGGTTCACGCAGGTTCCTAGTGAAGAAGTGGTTTTCCATGGGATGTCTGATTTGAGTTCCATGTTTGTATGCCTCAAAGGCGAGTGATCCCATGAATGGCTGGCTTAAAAGTGGCTGCGAGATTCCCTGCGTATCTGAAAAGACAAGATCGCTTGCTTGAGGTGTGTTTTATTTCGGCTTGCTTGATCACTCCAATCTGCGTTGTGTGGTTTCCCTGCCGGTGTCCTTTCAACAGCCATCCAACCAGCAATCCCCAGGCATCCCCAGGCTCCCCATCTTGGGAGTCGCCAGTACGGTCTAAAGATAGTCATGAGTCATGAGATGTGCAGTCAGCCCTGGGATAAATGAAAGCTGCAGAGTGGTTTGTGGCCTCAGCGCCCATGGATGCCAAGGGCTAATGATTTAATCCTGATGGATTTCCGATTGATGTGCGTCTCCACGCGACAGGTCTGAGACCCATGCGTTGGTGGAGATGATGACATCGGATCAGGTGCACGGAGGGCATACGCATGCAACACAGCGTGCATGTACTATCATGAGTGTCAATGCAAACATCGCACACCGCCTACTTGCCGCACTTGTCTCTTGGGCTGATGTGTCAAACAGCTGGAGAGACGTTGGAGCTTCCAGCAGCTGCCGCTGCCAGATGATGGCCTTGGGGTGGAAAGTTCTGGGTCTAATACCAGGCGTGGCAGAGCCAATGAACCGGCTTGGCTGACGAGAACTTGAGCCGCCAAAGTAACCAACGGCCACAATCCAGGACTGAAGCCAAGAGACAACATATGTCCTGGGACCCCGACGTTGACCGACCGACATTGACCGACCGACGGACGACCGAACGTGACGGTGACCAACCGACCGAAGAGCCCAACCAAGCCAGTTCGTCAGCGGTCACGAGTTAAATAGTTCTTATCCCTGCATCTTACGACCGCTTCCCTGTCTTTAGCACGCTTTGTGCGTTTTGTTTGCTGTTGTTTAGTGTTTTGTTGGGAGGGGTTCTGTTCATGTTGAGGCTGCAATCAACCAAGTTGTGGTGCAAACATACCAAGGGTTCAGAGAAAAGAGCAAAAAACGGCACGCATGCCTCACGCGCCAGGCGGCCCAGGCCATCAGAGAGCTGAATGGCATTCTGCCGGAAGGTGCGGCACGGGATGGCTCCGAGCAACGCGCCCCAAGCGGCCTGAGTTTGGGATACTTTGGGGCAATGAGATGGAAAACCTTTCAGCTTAACGGGCTGGAGGGAGATGGGACCACAACCTGTGGCCTTAGGTCCTTTTGGAGCCAAGCTTGAGGCACCCACAGCAAAGGGCAGTCAAGCGTCAAGCGCAGCCTTGGAGCCTAAATCGATGTGGCAAGCTATGGCAAGCGTGGCTTGAAGCGCCAGGTCACTACTGTCCGCGGCTTGTGGTGAGGCCAACGCCAGATAGCCGCGTGTTTTGTTCTGGGGAATATACTCTATCACGTGGAAGCGATGGTCAGCAGTTTTCACACACATCATCTTGCGCATGACCATGTGCGACCCCACTCACAAGGGCTCATCCAGCAGACGAGGGCATGCAGGAACAAACACAGGGAGTGACTTTTGACTGTCAAGGATGTTCAGACCCACATGTCATCGAGAGTCGGATATTGTGATATGCCACCTAGTTCTGTTGGGGTTGCAGCTCGAAGCCGGCGCAGGTTTGCAACACGGCCAGCTCCAAGCTCCATTGAGGAAGCGAGGTAGAGGGCAAACGTCCAGGAAATTAGGCCTGCTTTGGCCTGGGTTTGAATATCAACGAACGTTGAACACTTTTGAGCTAGATGCCCAAATATGGGCCAGCAACACTCCTCTTCTCATGCTTCCTTTTTGCGTGTGTCATGCAATCCCCCAACATCTGGTGGATCTGGTGTTTGCGGACTTCATCTTTTCGGAAAGGAAGAGGAGCACATCTATTTTTTGTAACCTCGTCAGGCTTACCGGATGACCGGTCGAGGGCCTGCGTTTTCGTAGGGCTCTTTCACGCCAGTGCGTGTTCCGAGACTCTTGCTTCTGTGAATGGTCCGAGCCGAGAGGCTTTGGCTGAGGGTCAGTTTGCGCACAAGTTGAGACACGACCATATCTCGCAGCCCCCAGTCAGAACAGCGCGCTTTAGCAAGAGTGTGACGGCAGGGGCCCAGCAATTCTTCGCGAAGCCAAACGTGTGCGCCTGCCTTGCATTGCGTTGCTGGTTGCTTTGCACCAAGAAGCCTCCATCCGCTTGCGTGTTTAGCTTGGAAGTTCGCTCAAAGAATTCGGGTTGGCTCAAAGAATTCGCGAATGCAACGCATGGCACCTTGTGTTGACAGCAACTCCGGAATTCACATGTTTCTGCGACTCAAACAAAAAAGGGTGCAATGACTATGACCTGTGCACCCTGCATGTTGCTGGCTTTGGCGATGGCCTAGAGAGCCAGCCTCAGAGGCAACCTGTGGCACTGTAAAGCTCCAGCGGCTGGTTTTTGTCATGTTCGGTCGAGATGTCCGTGTCCTGACATATTGCGTCGCCCTCTAAGGCGGAGCATGGCGCAGGCGCGACCCATGTTTGAGCCTAATCCAGACGGTTGGAAGGACTTGCTGTTCCCGAGTACGTAGCACGCGCGGGAGCAATAGCGCGCATTTGTGGAATGGAACCGTATTCCCTGCTGGACCAAATTGGAACACTTGCTTGGGCATCCCAGATGATGCATTCCGCCCCATGCTTGATCAAGCATGACCGGCTTGCTTATGCACGCATTGCTTCAATACCAATTGGGTGCTGAACACCAGTTGACCAAGAATTGAAGTGGAACACCAATGAAGATGACATGATTCTCATTCACTGGCGCTTTTGTCAAGACAAAAACTGATTGTCCACCATGTCCTGCTTCTTGTTCACCATTACTAGGGCATCAAGCGCCCACATTGGCAGGGTTGACTGAACAGAAGGGCCACGTCAGGGGGATAGAGAGATGGCCTGACGGCAGGCCAAGGTTCTGCCCAAGAAGGTGCGGGAACAGCTGGCAGGCGCGGTTGAGCTCAACTTTTGACACCTGGACATCTGCCATAAGAAGCGATTTTTGGCGCCCGCGGACTGACAAGAAGTCAAAAGGAAACTATAGGGGCCCCAGTTTTGAGACGGCCACATTGGATCTTACAGGACTTTCGCCAGTGGGCAAATGATCCGCCCATCCTCCGTGATTCCTCTAAGTTGTGTCGCGTCCACAAGTAATAATATACGGGTTTCATGCCATTCGCCCCTGTCAGCTCACGAGAACAAGCTTACGAAGGAAGGCTGGGGCTCTCTTGCCGTCCGGGGCGCACGGCCAAGACTTGACCGTTTCTGCATCTTGGGGTGCTTACGAGGGATCCTTCTGAGGTGCAGCTGACCGTGAAATCCCTTTGTTTCTCAAACTTCTGGGCTTTGTGGTACTGTACCCTGCCTGGTCCATGGTGCCCTCTACGGGAGGTGCAAAGGGGTCCCTGTTGACATCGCATCCCGTTGGTGTGGCCCGCCTTGGGTACGAGTTCCACCTGTTTCAGGTGAAGGGTCAACTGCCAAGCCTCAAGCTCGGATTGTCTTTCGTGGGCGTCTGGGACGAGGGCACTTTCATCAATGACGGGGTTGTAAAATATGCTGTGTGCGCTGTGGAGGCTTTCTGTTTGAAGCAGGTGGCGTCCTGCTGTCGTGAGGGCTGCAACACAATGGCCAAAGCACCTTGAGTTCCCATGATCTGATCCGGTGATGTCAGGCCACAGTTGCCGTTGCGCTTGTCTTTGGGAGTCTCCGGCTCGGGGCCGCCATGGGTGCCCTCAGGCTCTACTGCATCCCTCGAAACGCCGAGCGTTGCATGGAGCTGAAGGCCATGGCAAGAGTTGAGCTAGAGAAGGTGAGGTGGCGTAGTGTACCCTGCAAGATCCCTCCAACACCCAGTTCCAGAAAACATCCGCATGGCACAGCCTCACCTAGTTGGATGTGAGCCTCGGAGGCGGGATTCAGGTGGGCAGATATGGGCAGTGAATGCAAATCCTCCAGGTCCATGAAGCCGGCAAGACTGTGTCCTACGATTCCGTGGGTCCTTTCTTTGGCAAGGTGGGTGCCTCGCTCTCGTTTTGGCAGCAAGTTCTCAACAAGTCATAGCATGAGCACCTTCAGAGATGGGAACAGCGTCTTTTGGTTTCCAAGCTGGTGCCGCTAGCAACACACAGGCAGGCGACTGTTTTGAGGACGGCTGCAAGTACATCAGTGTTTGCCCGTCTCTGGTGACTCCGGGGGAGTTCTACTGCGCCAGAGCCTTGGATTGAAACAGCTGAACATCCACGTCGCAAGCGCAATGAAGTGTCCTCTTCAGAGCGTTGTATCCGGAGAGGGTCCAGCTCAGCACCAGTCATGAGCTCTTCATTCGTGGGCCGCCCCATTGGAAGGTTGCTTTGCGACCTTATGTTGCTCTATGAGTGGGAGACAGCGAGCAATAATATGAACAATGCACAAAATTACTGGTATGTTTTAGTTTGCGGAGGCCCACACAGATATCTCACAAAGATCGGGCTCGCCTAATTGTCGCAAGTTCTGCAAAACCTTGTGGGGAACCTTCTGAATAATCTTGTTCGCGCTGAATCCAGGCAGAGCGCGTGCACAGGTGCCCTATGACTGCGACAAAGTCATGCTGATCGACATCGAGAAGGACACAATCAAGCAGGCCCGGCCTTGCCTCGTGCGCCCCTTTTTGATAGTGAGCTCGCGTCACGACTTAGCATTGCCATCACCATGAAACAGCCAACTGGCATCCCATTCTCTCTTGGCATAAAGCGGCTGTTGGACCGCGCATCGGCTCACACCTTTCCTCGCCTGCATGCAAACTGCCATGCAAACTTTGGTGAATGGGTGCCTTGTGATGGGAGGTTGGGTCTTTCCGGAATCCATGCCGACTGAGCAACTTAAGTGTCAAGCAAATCAGGGAGGCTGGAAGTTGTGGCTGTAGTTTGCTCACTCTGTGGTTGAAACCTTTAACGTGATTCTCAGTGCAAGTTGCCGGCCTTCGGGAGCAAACAAGAAGCCAGCCATACCGATCAGTGGATCTATTTGAGGACTTTGTACAGGCAAGCTAATTTGCAACGAACAGGTCGGCGACATACTGGCGGAAGACAAGGTCACCAAGTACGCCACTGCAGCCTCAACCTTGGCATCGCCTCGAACCTTGCCGCTTCTCATAGTAGTGGAGCAAAGGGGAGGTCTGGTTCTCGCAATCAGGAACCATGTGCTTGCTGCTTGGTGTTTGTATGCAACAAGCAGACACTCCAAACGTGTGTGTGTGTGGGTGCGTGTGTGTGCGCGTGTGTGCGTGTGTGCGTGTGTGCGTGTGTGCGTGTGTGCGTGTGTGCGTGTGCGCGTGTGCGCGTGTGCGCGTGAGCGCGTGTGCGCGTGTGCGCGTGTGCGCGTGTGCGCGTGTGCGCGTGTGCGCGTGTGCGCGTGTGTGCATGTGTGCGTGTGTGCGTGTGTGCGTGCGTGTGCGTGCGCGTGTGCGTGCGCGTGCGCGTGTGCGTGTGAGCGTGTGCGTGTGCGTGTGCGTGTGCGTGTGCGTGCGCGCGCGTGCGTGCGTGCGTGCGCGTACTCGTGCGCGTGCGTGTGTTGTGTGTGTGTGTACCGTTTGCCCTTTACCAAAGAATTGGGGTTTGGTGGTTGTTCATCGTCTGGTCTTCAGTCCAACTTAGGCCCCGGTTTTACTCGATGGCTTTGAGGCCGCCAGCCAAAACTGGCAGGGCCGCATCTACGCGCCGCCCTTCGGGGCTGATCGTGCCTGGTGATCCCAGAGCTGTGGTCGTATGCGATCATGGCTGTTAGCTTGAGGGGGAGATGGGTGGTCAAATATGGCTCCTTGTTCAACCCGGTGCCGCCTTGTGCGGCCTTTTTTAAAGGCGATCCTAAAAATGGCCCTGGATGTGCATCAGTTGCTGAGAGCGGTGGGTGACATGAGCGAACCCGCCAACGTAGCACTAGTGTCACTAGTGAATGCCGGGACAATCCACTGATTACCATGCAAACGCGGGCCGGAAGCAAATGTTGGGTACAGTTGTCCACTATGTATCAAGATTGTATCCCATTCTAGGAGCGAGCTACCCCAAATAGCGTGAGGGTGGATGAGCAGCCAGACCTTCGTCGCACGCGCCGCACCGCACCGCACACCGCCGCACCGCACCGCCCCGCCGCGCCGCACCGCACCGCGCCGTGCCGCGCCGCGCCGCGCCGCGCCGCGCCGCACCGCGCACCGGCGCCGCACGCACGCACGCTACATCTTGTTGCTCCACCAAGTAGCTGTCTAGGCTATTGATGACTCCATCGGAGACTCCTAAGGCGTCACAGGCCTCGCACTGCCATTTGCCCTCCTTTTGCAAAGGGACTTTGGCACCCTTCAAGTTCACGCTGCAAAAGGCTTAAGACTTCTTATGTTGCCCAAACTTGTTTTGGGAAAATTGGGATGTCATAGTGCCAAGTGCTCCTTGCTTCCCCTTCCGGTCTTGCTTGCGAACTCGGTTGTACGACTGCCTCGGGGCCATTTTGGCTCAAGTCCTTGATCCTTGGTTCGATCTCGGATCTTTTTTGTTGAATCCTGTCAGGTAGCATGGCAATGGCCATGGAAGTTGACAGGGAGTCGACGGTGATGGAGCTGGGGAACCCGGGATCGGGGACGGCTGCTCATCCGCCTCAGAAATCCTGGACACTGCCTCGGAGAAGAGCAAATGGCACTTCGCGGACTGTGGGCCCACTACCACAGATCTGGTGATCTGGATCCAGCAGAAGGTAATGGAAAAGACACGGTCCCAACGGAGGTCTTCAAAGAGTTCGCTGAGGCAATGAGGCGTGCCAAGTGGAGAGGGGCATGAGCCAGCAAAGCATTCAGGTTCCGGAAAAGATCAAGGAACTGCTCAACTGAATGGCTGCTCTCAGCGCCGAATCCTCCCGACAGCCGTTCCCTTGAAAGCTCAACCTCCAGACGTGCTGCCGGGAGCTCAAAAATTGCTACGGCGCCACAGCAGGAGTTGGGCTTCCCCTCTATCGCGTCAAGTGGAAGGGTGCAGCGACGGTCAATGAGGCGGGCAGGACCGCGCGACGCAAGAAGATGAAACGTGTGCCAAGCTCCACCTCAAGGCCAAGGCATGGGTGGAGGCGCGCGGCCCACGACCAGCGGGCCACCCTCCGCGCTGAAGGCTTTTGCTTGGGCAAGCGCAATTGGGCGATGGCCTTCCAGTGCTACTGCTGTACACACAAACACAAGCAAGCGCGCCAAGAGCCGCTATGCGCTATGGGAATGATGCCCCGGCAGACCAGCAGGGCAAGCGGCTGAGTGCCGAGGCCCCTTTTCAGGCGGTCTTGTTGCGCGAGCCTGGTGGGGCCCCGCCCTCTCCACTCAGAGCGGGGCGGCTTTGCCACTCTGTGACAGAGATGTGGACTCGCCGAAGTGGGGGGGCTAGGGGCGGCCTGGCTCGGGCGGATTTCAATGGCTGGAGCTGCTGTGATGGATCCACACCAATCCTCAGGACAATCTCCCATCATCATGTTCATGCGTGGCTTGTGCACGGAGGTGGGATTGGTGGCCTCTAAAAACAGACCAGTTGAGCGGACTCAGGACAGGTCTGGGTGGCAGCAGACGTGATCGAGCCCCTGCTGGATCAAGCCGTGAAGCTGTGGAGCAAGACTTGGACTGACTCGGACTGAAGTCCTACTCTCGCAGCTGCGGCAGCCAGTTGTTTCAAACACTGTTGCTGGCGGGCCTGCCCCCGGGACCAGGGTGGGGCGACGGCGGAGCTTGAAGGAGGACACCCAGGCCCAAATGTCATCGGACAAGATGAAGGGAAGGTAACCTCTTCAACGGCCTGCAATGGCGGCGGCGTTGCCCAGATGGGAGCTGCGCACCAACTGGAGATGGACGGCATCTCCAGGCCGGTACTCCCTCAGCAGCAGAAGAAAAACAAGCGCTGCGCTGATAAACTCCTCAGCGCCCTTCTACAGGAGCTCGTTCATGGCAGCGATCAAGCAGCGCGAAGACAAGTACGAGACCTGGAAACCACTAAGAAAACTTGGTCACGGGCAATTCTGGACAAGTCGGTCTACAGGCTCTCCCAGTTCTGGAGGGCTCAGCGCTGGGTTGCTGACTGGGTGCGATGACCCGACAAGGTGTGGAGAAAATGATTCTGTGTTGGATCCTTGGCCAGGTACTCGGACACGCTTCACACCCGTCCCAACACGCTGGTGACCACCAAGGAGACGGTTACGTTCACAGCATGGCAAACAAAAGGCAGACGCTCATTGTGTTATCGTCGCCTTCACGCTCAGGTCCCACGTGACCAACGCCGGTACCTGAACAGATTGCAGATTGATAGCATGGCTAATGTCTACACCAAGGAACATAGGGCAAGCCTGGAGTGAGTTCTTTTTTTAGAGGCTCCGCAGGAGGAAAAAGGAAAAGCCGTGGCTGGCGTGCAACGCACAACGCCCTCCACATCATGGACGCGCAGGCTGACGCGCAGATGATGCCTTCTGCTGCAAGGCGGCGAGAGTGCTCCAGAGTTCTTCCTGGACAAGTCCCCGGAGCCGGATGCGGACCCATCAGGAGGATCAACTTCGGAAATCCCCACTGGGGCCCTTGTCTGAGGAGGGGGAAGGTGCAAGGACAAGGGAGGACGAGCTCACTCCCTTCGGGCTTGGCAGAAGGCTGACTGCCCGCCCTCAAATTTTGGATTTCAGCCACTTACGCGGTGTCGGAAAAGAATCTTTGGGGAGCGCTGCAGACTGCACTGTGACTTCAAACAATCAAGAGTGCAATGCCGAACTCACGTGCAACGGAAGTGTTATAAGCTGATGGTTGAGGCTTAAGTCTTAAGATAGGTTTATCCCTGCAAGGCCGTAAGTCACCATCCCTGCTGACAAGCCCTGCGTTGCTGCATATGTCTGCCCATCAATCGAAAGAACGCTGCGGGGAGTCGCTAGGAAGCTTTTGACTATCCTTGCCCCGATCCAGGTCATGGAGATCGATCCGCGCATAGGACTCCAGCTTTGTGAGAGCCCACAATTATGAGAATTTCCATACTTCTCCCGACAAGCACTACGGAAATATGTGTTGTGCATGCACCGAAAGTGACTGCAGACACCTTACTCAGACGGCAAAGTTTTTGCCAGGAACCTGCATTTTCCTGATAAGCCGCGCCTGGACATGTGTGTGTTTTGAGGGTAGCTACTTGTCAGGTCGGTCGAAAAGAACCAACGGGACACCACCCTTTATTGAACTTGATTCCTTTATTGGGGGTCCCCCTATTTTGACACATACTCACATCTCACTTTCGGCTCGCCAGGACTTGTCCGAGAGATCGGGAACCGCATCGGACGGCCAGACAAGGTGCGCAGAGGAGCTTGGATTCTCAACAAGGGGACGCAAGAAAACCAGACAAATTTAAAGGAAATCACCAGCAAGTTCGAATTTCAAAGAAATACTCGTAGCATCTACTCCGGTGGCACATCCAGCACGCTCCTCAGGCAGGCAGCATGGGTTCAAAGTGCAAACATCATGGTCCAGGGATGATTTCTAGGCTCTCGAATGATAGTATTTTTGGGACGGATACATTTTGAAAGCATCGTTTGAATCGTTTGTTTCACTCAGGCAATTCAGGGTGCATTTCGGCGATGGCTCATGCCATGTGTGCAAAGAGCTGATGGCTCCATCAGCCAAGCAGTCTTGGACATTGCACGGGGGTCTCATTTCTATTCTTGACCGCTTGACGTTTCAGCCTTGCCTTGGCTTCACATTCATGTTCTTCATGCTCGACGAGACATCCTGCAGAGTGTTCCAAGTTCTTATTCCTAGTGCAATCTTGGCCAAAATCAGAGTTCTTGACGTTCTCCATGTTCGCACCACGCTCGCGTTGCGGCGTTTGTGTCTCAGGCAGAGTGGTGGGCTACAGTCTCTTCCCCAACCGCTGGCACCTGAGATCTGCGCTTTAGGACCCTTGGCTTCTGATTGAGAGGCAAGACCATGTTTCATAGAGCACTGCGCAGCAATTGCCTCACTGTGTAGTCGGTTTATCGTCGCTCTTTTGAAACTGGGACTTTGACATGTGCCAGGCGTTTGTGATATATATATATATATATATGTATATATATATATACATACAATATATATATATATATATGCTGTATACTGCAAGTCCATGAGCGGCCTTCCTTCAGATCGTCCAGAGCTCCGTTTCGTTTGATAGAAGCGGACGATTGCGGAGCTTGCTTCTGCCAAGACGCTCAAGATCTACGCCCTTCCGTGGGAGGCGCGACACGTCGCTGCCCTCAGAGAGTGTACAGTGCCATCTCAGCATGTTTCTTCAGCATGTCTCGGATTTGTTGGCAGCCCGGACATTCGGAGATAGTATCCATCCTTAGGAGGCGCAAGTTGGATCCTAGCTTTTGACAGGGTCCAGTGCCTGCAAATAGCTTAGGTGCTTGAAATCGATCCAGTCCACGGCGGTCAAGCACGCAAGGCCGCAAGTCGCAAGGGGCTGGGGGCTTGTTAAAATTGTGGAGCCCTTGAACCCGCTCAACAACTTAGGCTTCGCTGGGAGTCCAAAAGGACTCGTTATGCTTGACTTGCTGCCAGCTGTGGATATGGCTTTAGGAATGAGGGGGTTTGTGTGTGGTGAAACGGATCATGTGGCAGTCATCGGCTGCGGACTGACTAGTTGCCTAAATTTGGTATCCCTTTCCAGACTCCATTCGAAGGTAAGCCACCATCCGGGCATCGCGCTTTTGTTCAGCCGGCCTCTGTCGCTCTCAGGTGGGGCCTGATCTTGGCCCGGCATCAGGCGCCCCATGAGTGAGAGCTGGGCGCCGGTTACATTCTTTGGCAGACAAACACGACTTGGTTCTGATTTTCAGCACGAATGGCCCATTCCATGCAACATTCGGCATTGAGGCTCGGTTTAGACACCGCTGCGTACTGCCTGAGGCAAGTACAGCTGCGCTGCGGTGGCTGCAGATGGCTGCATTTATGCGCCGCCGTACAACGCCAGCAAGGCAAGTTGAGACAGCAGTCAATCACTGCGGCGTGATGCATTGTGACGGAGCAAGATCAGCCAGGCAGTTGGGAATAGTCCCCAGCATTGCTTGTGTGTGTGTGTTTGACAGGGATGCTGAGCGCAAACGGAGGTTATGTAAGGATTCCTTGCATGCCCCAGCCAAGCGCTGCCAGATCCTGAAAATCTCGGAGAAAGGCGAAGTCAGCATGGCACCTAAGAAGTTGCTTGCAGAGAGATGCGCTCAGGTTAATCAGGTTGAAGCATTTTTCTTTGCCTTCAAGGTTCATGGAATTTCTGCTGCCTGAGCCAGCCATGGAATCGGATTGGCATCCCATGAGTTGACCAAGCTATGGCATCGTTATGGAGAGATTCGGGCGCTAGACTCTTGAGAAATTAAGCTCGGCAACCCATGATAGAGAATACAATGATGGCCAGGTGGATGTCTGTTGAAGGGATGGTGATCCTTCGATATCCTGAGTTCTGACAGCACATTTGGCACTCCACAGAACCGAGCCCTCCCATACCACCCTTCCTCGCCGCCTCAGGCCTCATAGGCCCTGACTTGGGAAATGAGAATGAAGCGCCGAGAAAGTACAGCTGCGTGGCCCTCAGACCTCAGCCGCCGTTGCACCTGTGATGTAAAGCATTCCCTTAGGCAAGTTTCTTGCTGGTCAACTTGTCCAGCCTTTGGGCCAAACAAGAAGCTTTGGGAATATCCAGTGCACGATTGGTGTGCTCGGCTGGCTATTTGCTCTAAATCTGAGAAGTATAGAGGAGTGGAATTACACCCTCAGATCACAGCTGGTTTCTCACTGACTTACATTTGTAGATATATATATATATATTATATGTATATATATATATATATATTCATATTTCTATGTTTGGGCCGGTGATTGCAAATTCGCACAACACGCACACCCATTTAATGCAGGGTGGGAATCGCTATCTAGCTCTGTGGGCCTGTTTGCATGTCAGTCCGAATGGGGTACCTGGAGGCTTTCTGCCCAAGTGAGGCCCCGTAAGGCAAATCGGTCATGGAGTTTGCTCAGAAAGGGAAGGAAGCGAAACAGCCTTTGCTAGCGCATGTATCTTGAGTGGAGTTCCTTTGCTAGCCCACCAAAGATACCAACATGTGCAGTGGGCGGGGGGCACCCAGAGGAAATGCAACGCAAGCTTGAGCGCCCAAAGCCGTTTGGGCAATTTAGTTGGTTCTAATGCCTGGTTTTATGGAGGTTGTAGTAAAGCCTATATTCTTTTAACCGTCTTAGTAGATTCAAGGATCAATGATATTGGGCGCTCGCTTGGCTTCCGTGTCGCAAATTGCTGGGTGCCAACGCCCCAGGTGTTTGTCAAGGTGTCAATCGCTTGCTCTACGTCGCGGCCCCGAAGCAGTGCACGGGGTCAAGGTGGTTTCAAACTAACTCCCCCTGCGCTTGACTGGGCAATTTTATTGTGAGTTTCATTGCAAAGTTTCGAGAAGCTTCACAAGAGAGGCATTAGACACCCCGCTGGAGGCTGCGCCACTCTATGCAGACCGGGTCTTGGAGATCAACACAGCAGGGGGCGTCCGCCCGCCAAGCTTGCAGCAGGCTCCTGGAGAGATCCATCTTTGCACCAACAGAGCATGACTCAAAGCTGAAAGCCCCTCGTGTGTTGAATAAGCTGCCTGGACTCAGGGACTCGACTTGCAAAACTGCTCTGCATTGGAATCCTGTGTCCAATCGATTCAGACCAAAACGTGTCTCAAGAGCCACAGTGAAGGCATTATCGTAATAGTTGGGTCTCAACATACAAAACTCATCCAAACTCTTCAGGTCTGCTAGTTTGACAGCCCGTGATCTTTCCATCGCATCCATTCGAGAAAAGTTTTCTGCCGGAGCCCACCTTTGCCAGATGAGCGGCTTGATTGGTCCCAACATCGGCACGGGAGAGGCCGGAGATGCTCCCGTGCCGTCCCCTTGATCGGAACATCGAGCAGTCAGTGGTCTGCGCGGCAGAGTTCTTTTTTGGCTCTGGTGTAAGACGGAGAGCTGGAGTGCCCTTGGCACACATGACAAATGGCCGCAGGCTTCGATTTGCATTCATATTCGCAAGCTAGGCTCCTTCATGAACACTTGGGACAGGCCCTTTACGCCTGCGCAGCAGAGGGTGCGGACGGACGGATCTATTGCGCACCCTTGCAGGCGCAGAGATGGGGCGAACCAAGGGGAGCAAATACGGCAAATGTTTGTGACATCAATTCGGCTCTTTCTCCCCTGTGATTGAATGACCCTCCCTTGGCACGTATGCAAAGAAATGTATCACCTGTCGGACACTGTCGGATAGACGATTGCTTGGGTCATTTGGCAGTTCCAAAGAGCAACACGACGTGTCAAAGTCAGCAAGATTCAGATTCTAGATATTTTAGAGCATGCAAAGCCCAACCGAATCGTGCTGCTCCCCACTCGAATATTTGACCCTCAAAGTCACAGTTTCTGCCAACTCCAAATGAAATCGTCATGAAGCACTTCTGGGGCTTTGAACATTGGCAGTTTGATGGGATGGCTGAGACTGCATTTGCTGAACATTTCAAAGATTTGAAGGCGAGAGTGCAGCAAGCAGCCGTCGCATCCACGCTTAGTAGTGAGATATCAACTGCAATCACATTTGGAATGTGTTCAGTGGGCCAGCAATGTAAAGAGAAAGCAAAAATATAATGTCTAGGCTCTCGACTGAGCTGAGCTTCAGGGAGTTGGCGCATGCACGCCGCAGGCTCATCGGGTCCTCATGATCAATCCTGTGGACCACGAGGTGCCGCATGAAACCGGGCTCTCGGCCCAAAAGGAATACATCTTTTGCTGAGCTAGATGAGCAGTCGACATGGGATTAACCCGGGAAGCCGATTCATTGACATAGCACAATGCCAATCATGGTGCAAGAGACTTGCACAGGTGGAAGAGATTGGAGTCGACTTGGGCAAGGAGGCTGGACGATGAGCATTCATTTTTTCGTGTTGGGTAACGCGCGAAATTATTTCAGCCCTTTGCCTTGTCTAAATCTAGGCAATTGACCGTTGGCGGTGATTGGTCTGCTGAGCCCTTGTTGCCAAGGATGAGAAGTACTCCTGCATTGCCCGGGCGCGGATGCCCGGTCGGCCAACACAAGCATGACAGCTGACACCCACTCTTGGTCAAACAGAAATTGCGATGGTAAACATACGTTTTGACTGTGTGTGTGTGTCCGGTGTGTGGTCAGAATTCTGCTAACTGTTGACAATTGGTTCTTTGGTCTTTGAGCCACTTGTGTATTGACAGCGATCAACTGCAACATGGTAGGTGGAACTACCCACCAACACCAAACAGTTTCTGCATTGCAGCTTGAAATCAAAGCCCCGACAGTGGCTTGGACTTGCCAGCATCTATTCTTGTTCGTTGAAACATCTTGTGCTGACTCATTGACCGTACTGGCAGGGGAGGTTTTTGTCGACTCACCATCAGGCGCCCATCGGCCACATGATGTATGCAGCACCACGCAACGCCCGCTTCTTTTTAGAGGCGGGACACCGGGCAGCTGGTTGAATTGGCCAATTGTCGAAGCCACTCAGATCGATTGCGCCAGCCCTGAGATGTATCTCAACTTGACATGCTGGTCGTGAGACCATGTGGGTGCGAATCGCGTGCAGCGGAAGGGGCAACCCAGCCAAAGCACATTTAGGTTGATACCAAGCGAAGCTTCGTGCGGGAGGCGCGCCCGGCTTTTTTGGTAACAGGCGGATGTCCTGACCAGCCTCATTCACATCGCGGATGAATTATAATGTTTGGATGTCCTCTTCTTTTGGGGGGGGAGGATGTTTGGTGATGGCAAAGTGAGGACTACAATAAATTAGCACAATGCTGGCCAGTGTCCTTTAAGAAAGGAACATTTCAAACAAATTCAGTGGTGGCACACTTGGGTTGTGCAAATTGCTGTGCAATTGACAGTGTCAGCGGGCCCCGAAGATGCCCCTAGGGGATGATTTGTGGTCAGAAGTCACTGGGCTCTATGAGGTGGAACACATCCAGCCAAACCTGCCGATGTGTCTCCAAGGACTCAGGACGCTCCCATAAAGGAAGCTTCCCGTGCGGGCGAGGCGTTTGAGGTTGGGAAAGCTGAAGTGAGCCCCTGAGGTGGGCAAGGACTTGGGGGCTGGCAAGAGGAAGTTCACCGCAATCCTGCCAGGGACCGGATCTCAGTCCCATTTCGGGAAGGATGGTCCGGGCACTGCTGGCAATCGGGACCTGGGGTGTTTCGAAACATGTGGTTGTGGTGTACAAAAGCAACTGAAAAGCATTCCTTGCATGACTTGATCGGCTTGAGTAGTGTGAAACCACCAGACTTCTTCGCAGCCTACCAGGTTGCCAGGATCGTGTCATGCAGCTGCCAGGACAGCAACCGCTGCCGCAAGTGGCTGTTGCCTGGTTGGAAGTTTATCTCAGGTCAAAGAGGCTCCAGAGACATCCAGCTGGCAAGCCGCATATTGCACTCATGCCACTCAGGAAGCCGCCAGTCGTGCAGCGCTTGGAGTCGGAGTATGTTGGGAGGGCGGGGACGGAACCACTCGAGCATTGAATCGCAAAGAGGATATGTTTCAAACCGCTCAATTGTTGAGCATATTGACTTCATTAGCCAATGGGGTGATTAAGTGTTTTTGGTGACAAACTCTCCAACAGATAAGCAGAGTTGTTTTTGGGGTAGCAAAGGGGAAAAAGGAGAGTGGACTTATCAGGCCCCGCGTAGGCATATTACTACACGCGCATAGGCGCGTGTAGCCACTTTTTGACAGTCGGCTGGGGAGCTACTCGCGTAGGCACCGCGGCTCGACTTGACGGGTTGACAGTAGGTGACGAGTTTTAGCACGAAACGCACACTGCGTAGGCACTTTGAGAGCAAGACTCCAACCGCATAGGCTTGCATAGGCGTTTTAAGGCTGACTAGGCCGTCCCGCGTGGTATTTGCACATGGCGTAGGCGCCGGCGTAGGCGTTTGATACGTCATCAGCATGACCTTCCCAAAAAAACTCTGCTTAGATGTGCCAGAGTGACAACTGCGGGGGTGTCTGAGGATTCTCAAAATCCCTTTTGAGATCGTCTCCCTTGAAGCCACCACTTGCGTAATTTTAACAGAAGTTCTCCGTCCTTCTGTTGAATGGAGAGATGTCCACTTGCGCGGCTGTTTTACTCCAACTTTTCGACCGCGTCGGGCGTAGCTAGTGTTGTGTCAAATGAAACACAGACAAGCAAGCAGCCCAAACTCCGAACCACCGTGAACTCATCTTGGGCCGGCGGCGAACAGTCTGTAATTAGGGGGACTCATTTTCCAGACTGCACAGCATGCTCATCATGTTGTCAGCGGTGTGTCCTAGCCAAGATCGTCCTCCCCTTTTGTGACAATTGCGCAGGTGCCTAGGCAATTCACGAAGACAGAAATCTGAGCCCTTGCTCGAGACTATTTTTCCAGTTTGAGAGGTTTGGTGGGTTCCCTTTGATCTCTGGCGGCGTCGGCAAACCAACACGCGTGTTTCTCGAAAGACTCTGGCTGCAGACAAAAGATGCATGAGGTGCCAGGCCTGCTGAGAGCCAGCAGCGCATCGAAATCAAGCCGAGCCACACCTCCAAGAGGCCTTGCTGTTGACGTACGTGCTGAAGGGTTAGTTGAGCGACCAATTGATTGCCAATCCAGAAGAATGTTTGGGTTGATGCGTGTATTACCCAGATAGTTGAGTGCCTCAGGATACTTCCGATGAGCGTGCCTCAGGATACTTGAGATGTGGGTACGTGGGTGTGTGCGTGCGTGCGCGGGCGGGCGGCTACCCAGCGTGGCTGTGGGTATCTTTGTTTCAGAGAGTGTGTGCGTGTGTTTGTGTTTGCGTGTGTGATTGTGTATGTGTGAGTAAATCAAGTGTGTGTCTATGTGAACGCGTGTCTGTGTTTGTGTCTTTGTGTGTTTGCTTTGGGATTATCTTGCTTGTGTTGTGGCTGGATAATCGGCTTTGCTTGGCTTGGCTTGGCTTTCCTTTCCTTTGCTTTGCTTTGCTTTGCTTTTCTTTCTTTCTTTCTTTCTTGGTCTGTTTCTTTGTTTCGTTGCTTGCTTGTTTGTTTGCTTGCCTGTGTCTGTCTGCCTGCCTGCCTGCCTGCCTGCCTGTCTGTCTGTCTGTCTGTCTGTCTGTCTGTCTGTCTGTCTTTCTGATTGCTTGCTTGCTTGCTTGCTTGCTTGCTTGCTTGCTTGCTTGCTTGCTTGCTTGCTTGCTTGCTTGCTTGCTTGCTTGCTTGCTTGCTTGCTTGCTTGTTTTCGTGTGTGTGTGTGTGTATTTTTGTGTTTTTTTTGTGTGAGTGTGTGTGTGTGTGTTTGCGTGCCGTGTGTGTGTGTGTGTGTGTGCGTGTGTCTTTGTGTGTGCCTCTGTGTGTATGTTTATTTGTTGGTTGCTTGGCTGGGTTGCTGTCTGGCTGGCTAGCTATTGGCTGGTTAGTTGGTTGCTTGGTTGCTTGTTTGCTTGGTTTGCTGTGTTGTTGTTGTGTGCTCGTGATAGATTGGTGTGTGATTGTGTGCGTCCGTGCGTGCGTGCGTGGGTGGGTGTGTGCGTGCGTGTGCGTGTGCGTGTGGGTGTGTGTGTGTGTGTGTGTGTTTGCGTTCGCTTGTTAGGTGAGCGTCGTTGCTGTCTCTTGGTTAGTCACTACCCATTTCTATCGAAAGCACGGAACTCAGTGTGTTGTTTCCCGCGGTAGGTGCGCCTGAGCTCGGCCGCGCGGCGACTGTTGGAGCTAGAGCTGCAAGCCCAAAACAGAAAATATATTAAACGAATTTGATATAGTTGATACCGAATATAGGTCTATAATAAGATTCAATCTTTAGTAAATAGGACTGGAATACATAAATTGAATGAATTTATAAATAGAGATAATTATTATTAAATTAATATATTAATATATATATATATATTTAAAATAAAAATATTAATATAATTTTAAATTATTATTTATATTTTAGTAAAATCAAATATATAAGAGTAAGAAATTTATAAATATAATTTATATTTGAAGATATAATAAATTATGATTATAGATAAAAATATGATGTATAATTTAATTTAATGTAGGTTATATTAATAAATTATAATTTAGAATGAATTTTATTTAAAATATATATTATTGAAGAATTTATATATTTTGATATATATTTTTTATTGTTATGATATATTATTTATTGAATTATTTATTTAAGCCATATAAGGTATAAAATTAAATATTGAATTTATTTATATAAATAATTTAATTAAATACATAATTTAAAACAATATGATTTTAAGAAATGATTATAGATATAATTATCGAATATTTAAAAATAAATATTTGAAAAAAAAAATGGAATATGAAATGTATTTAAATAGATATATTTATATATTATAAATTAATATTATTTATATAAATATTTATTTGGATGGGTGATTTGATTTTGATTGTTTGGGTTTTTTTTAGGGTTGAGATTAATATATAATTGGAATTAAGAAAACATGCCACATAATTTAATTTAATATCGAATTATATTTACATGAATGATATGGCTTTTACCATATGAAAAATTGGTTGTTATATTATTGGTATGAAAAGACGAACGAACAATGTGTTCGAAAGTCGTTTTCTTGAGGATTGTTGGCATTTCCTGAAATCATTGGTAAGATATATGTGAACGTGTAATGGGCTATGCAAAGCGAAGGCTAGAAATGCATTTGTTAGCATATATATGTAAATATTCGATTGTTCTTTATAATATATTAACTACCATATTTATAATTAATATATATAATTATTCTTAGTTATATATATATATTAATATTTACAAATGTAAAAATACAAACGATTTAAATCTTCTTAATAACGAATAACTAGCATAAAATTAAATTTAAACCATAATTATATATTTTCAACAATATTAACATGTTTCATAATTATTACATATAAAGTGTAAATTAATTTAGAATAATATTAGGGGGGACCTATTAATTCCATTAACGACTAAATAAAAACAAAAAATATATCCATGAAACAAAAAAAATGAAAGAAGGATAAAATTGTCGAATGTATAAAAAGAATAGAAAACCAAAAAAAGAGAAAGAATAAAATAATAAGAAAAGAAAAAAAGAAGGTAAAAAAAACAAGAAAGAAAGAAAGAAAGAAAGAAAAAAAAAAAGAGGGAAAGAGAGAAAGAAGGAAAGATAGAAAGAGGGAAAGAGAGAAAGAAAGAGGGAGAGAGGGAGAGAAGGAGAGAGAGAGAGAAAAGGAGAAAGAGAGAAAATGAGAAAGGACATAGCGAGAAGTGGAAAAAGGAAGAAATTGAGAAATGAAGAAATAAAGAAATGGAGAAATAAAGAAAAGGAGAAATAAAGAAATCAACAAAAATATATAAAAAGAGAAATGGAGAAAAAAGAAAAGGAATAATAGAGAAATGAAGAAAAAGAAAAAGGGAGAAAAAGAAATAGAGAAAAAGAGAGAAGAGAAAAAAAAAAAGAAAAAAATAAGAAAGGAAGAGAGGAAAAAAGGAGAAATTAGAAAAGGAAGAAATAGAGAGAGGAAGTAAAATTATACGAAATGATTAATTTATTGGGTTTATACATATATATATAAGAATTTGATATAAATGATATCTTAGATGTCGGTTATTGGTTTTAATTAATAGATTTTTGATTTTTAATAAATTATGTTAATCTGTTTAATAAAAATTAATTTGAAGAATTTTAAAATTAATATTAATACCCCCTTTTAAAATTAATTAAAAAATCAATTTACAACAAGTAAGTTAAAACAATACCAAAATTAATAGAAATCACAATTGTGTTATTTGTTCATGGTATGCAAAATTAATAAGCAATAATAGATATATATTCCTACCCTAGGGTTATGAAATTATTCATTTAAGAAAGCTAATAAGGAACATTATCGTTATTAACTCAATTCCTAGATTTTAAATTTTTTGGAAAAACAATTTTAATGGTAAAGTATTATTATTATTTAACTTTTCTGGCTACGTATTGCATTTTCCACAACAACCAAATTTGGCTATAAATATAGGAACAAACTAAAATAAAATTATTTAGTCCTTTGTAAGCAATGATTTGTGTAGTTTTTAAGGATTGTCTGAGTCCCCTTTAAAGAGGTATAGTTTCGTTTTTCCTTTTCACACAGGGCAAAGGGAAAACACACATTGCTAGGGCAAATGTGCCGCCAAAACGCGAAGGCTGGGCCCTTGCTCCGGGCAGGATTTAGGTTCCTATTACCCTCTTATCCATTAATATGGAACTCACCAAAGGGCTCCTCCTGGTTTCTAACATGTGCTCGTTTGTTGTGTTTTTTTGGTTTTGGGGAATTCTCGAGGTGTTGTTTGAAATTTTGCACTTGCTTAGGATTTGTTTGGAATGTTTATTTGGGATATGGTTATCGTCATTTCGTGTTTTTTATGCTATAATATTTTATTTGAACTCTTGTTTTTGTTGATACAGTATATATATTGATGGTTTGTTTGGACGATTGCTGATATTCCATGTTGTTTTGTTGTTTTTTGCTTATTTAGATTTCTCG